GGTTGTATTTGAGGAGGAAAAAAAAAAAAAAAACAACTAAAAAACATCCCAGGGTGTGTATGAGGGAAGAGGGAGAAGTTACAGATAGTTAAGAGCATGAACAAATTTTCAGCAGCTTATAAATTTGTTTACAAATTTGTTCCAATTTGGCCAAGAAATGTAGCAATGGTTGGGTTTTCTTTCATTTCTTAGGGACAAACTCCATGGAGGAGCTAGCTTATAATCATGGGAGCAAATCTCTTCCTAGGGGCAAGGATTGGGTCTAGATAAGGCCATGGTCCCTTGAGAATTGCCCCGAGAAAGGAATCTTGTGTTTGCGTGAGGTTCATTTCAGAACTTAGCTCCCCTCTCCTGGTTCTGCTGCACTAAATGTCCATTCATGTCTCAAGATGATGCTGTGTTTAGGTGGCTCAGACCAATGTGGGGGAGACGCCACACATTCTTTGGGATTTCCCTTCAAAGAATTTGCTGCAGATTTTCCCTTTGCTGCTTGGAGAGGGAAGAATGTACCTTGCTACTGTCTTTATCTCTCTTACTGCACCTGTGACAAATCTCATGCAGTCCAATGGTTCACCTGAAGCCTTTCTCATTAAACAGGAAGTTATATATTGGTATTTGATGTGTAAGGCTGACTCTTCCACTATTCCCCAACATTTTTTACTCTCTGAGGTCAAACAGTCTTCATGACAAATTTGAAAAAAACAAACAAACAATGAAAGGGTTTTGGCTAATGAAGGCACATGTGTGGTCTCCCTTCTTAAGGGGTGTTTGGGAACTCCCAAGAAAAATTTAAGGATTGAATTGTGGACACAGAAAGGATGAGGGATGGTATGAAAATCATCATAAAAAATAAGATCTGCCTGCAACTGTGGAGGATCTTTGTACTTCTAGTTTGTATTTCTAGGTCAGTGGGGAAAGATTCAGCCTTTGAATGAGATCTTTTAATTTTCTCTCTGCCAGTATTTGCATATAAGCATGTGTTCTTGTGTACAGGAGATCTAACTAGTATTGGGTATTCCTGAACACAAAGAAACGCAGCTTGGATTCTGGTCCCTTCATTAAACAACTGGGAGACTGGGGCACTCACTTCCCCTCCCCGAACCTTACTTTGCTGTGAAGTCTGTGAAGTGAGAGGGTGGGGTTGACTCATCTGTAAAGTGTTTTTCCACTTGAAGTCTCTGATGTGGTTACTTCCTCTTCTTCGTCAACAGCCGGCTTCTACTAAAACTCTAAGCACTTGAAAGTTTTGGTGCTGGCATAAAATTTGAATTCCATTATTTTGAAATATGTTAGGCTTCCCTGGATGGGATATGAGAAAGCCACAAATGCATCCATGCTCAGGTGCAGGGTCACTGCAGGTTTAACTAGCACTGTAACAGTGGCAAGGATTAGAAAAAAGTCTCTTCTAAGCAGACTCAGCTGCAAGCTGGTGGGTCCACGGTTTAGCAGGTGGAATCCTGGCTCCTTCAGCCCTGTGAACTCCCCAGAGTCCTTGTGTGGCGAACAACCTGCATGCATATATATTAATGGAACATTGCCTTCTTTGGGCTCTGACCACTTTAGTTTAAGATGATTCCGGAACAGACATCACTGATACGACAGAAAGGAGACTTTTATCGTTACTGCTTAAAATATTTCATGCAGTTAAAAAGCTCCAAGTCTAAGCAAGGTGAGTAGGGGTAAGGATGAAGAGGCGGGGGTGGTGTCAGGGGGGAGAGACGTTCCAAACAAAATACACACATATGAATAAATGTATAAACAATAATAAATAAGTAAATAAGCCAGATTTTTTTTAAAACGCTCCAAGTTTGTACTTAGATGCATCCCATCTGATTTGGGTGGCTTGAAGAGGCTAGTAATAATAAATCCTTTACATTTTATAGAGCTGTACAATTTATGTAGCACATTAAATATATTTTCTTTTTTCAATTGCCTTCTGATTCTAACCATTGCCCTGGTAATAATTATCCCCATTTTAAATACAAGGGAAATAAAGGTGAGAGGTTCAAAGACTTGTTCAAGGGCAGCTCATAAGTGGTCAAGTCAGGAATTGAACCCCACATTTGTCTAGCTTCAAATTCAAGGTTGTTTTCTTCCAAGCAAGTTGCACTTATCCTAGTTTGGACTTGGCATGGACAGCTATACCTAAAGAACAACTCTGTACAGGTCTGGATTTAGTCTAAGCAGGCCATTCTCTTAGTCTTGATGAAGGCAGGACTCTAAAATCTGAGTATAAGTTCTGGAGAGGTCTTAGCAGATCCAACTGAACTAAATATTCACTTTTCACATGGGAGAGTGATTCCTAGAGGTTCACTCATTTAGTTGAATGCATCTGTACTACTTGCATGCTGTTGATCCAGAATTTGCTCCACCATTTTAGGTTACTACCCTGCCATGCATCTCAGGAAAGCCTAGAGTCAAGAGCGAGTCATCTCTCCATATGATATGCAAACAATGTCCACAGGCCACCACCACTGATAGAATCAAGGCTCTTCAGTGTTTCTCTGCCTCACCAACAGTGCCACCCCAGGCCTCTTAGCTGCCTTCAACCCTGTTTTTATGTACAGCCTTTGGAGTGGTTAAATTAGAGCAGCCTTGAACTGTCGACCATCTACCTCCACCTGGACACCTCCTGGGCCTTAAATATTTTACCATTGCCTTCTCCCACTGTCCGCTTCCTGAGCCACTTTCCTCTAGTTGATAAGGTTTCCATGAATGGCACCACAACAGTCTCCCCCATCCCTCAGTTCCATATCTTACAACCACTCTCTGCCCCACGCATGTCTCCCTTACTACATTCACTTGGTCACGAGATACTTTTGATTCTACTTCCTTCCCTCAATTTTCATTGCCATTGTCTTTATAGAGGTCCACAATCTCTCTGCTTCTCTAAGCTAGCCTCTACCTGCCATTAATTCTTTCTCTAAACATATATCTGACTGTACCCTTCCCTTAATTATAAAACAAAAATAGCTTCCCACTGCTGTAGGAGAGAGTTCACCCTTGTTAGTATAGCAGTGTGATCTTTATTACATACTGCTCCCCAAATCTGCCATTGAATTTGTGTATACTTTTTCTTTTGTCCAAAATACCCTTTCCCTGGGAACTCCTGATCATTTTCAAGATTGTGCCTATGGATCAATTCTGGGTTGTTGACTTCCAGGTAATTCCTAGGGGAGGAATTCCTGCTCCTTCCTTTGGATGGTTCCGCTACTAAGAAGCAGAAACTATCTCATTTTCTGGGCCCTGGCATACTGCCCAGCACACAGCGGGTAGAATAATGTTGAAGGAATGGCAGGGGTGGATATACCCCATTCTCTGATCAAATTAATTAAGTTGCTTTTTTGTGTGGTACTGGCATTTGAACTCAGGGCGTTGTGCTTACTAGGTGGGTGCTTTACCATCTGAGTCATGCCTCCAGCCCTTTTGCTTTAGTTATTTTTCAGATAGGGGTCTCATATTTTGACCCAGGCTAGCCTTGGACTGTGATCCTCCTACCTATGGTCAACTGAGTAACTGGGATCACAGGTGCATACCACACCACCTGACTTATTTGTTGAGATCAAGTCTTGCTCACTTTTTGCCAGGGTGGGCTTTGAACCACCCAGGAATATCAGAACTATATTCCTGATCTCTAAGATGCTTGTTAAGTGTTTGTTATTCCCTTTAGTTCAGTGTTGAGGGAAAAGGGCAGAAGTCAGCCTTTTTTCATTTTATATGCTGAATATTGACAATGTGTGCAGGCTAGAGAAACATTTGTTTTGCAATACATCTCTTTCTTAAAACTGTATCTGGAGTGGGGATGAAAGGATTTATCAGATTTTCCTGTATAGCTGCCTCCCCAGCCCAGCACTGGGCAAAGGGCAGGTACATCAGGACTGATTGGTTGATGGAAATGAGTCAACTTAAAGGCTAGTAAGATCCTTGCAGAATTCTGAAGGTAGAACTTGCAAACCATTGGCAAAAGGAACAAGGCACATGGATCACCTTGGTGCTATTTTAAAGTCCTGCTCTTTGTAACTCGAGGCTATCCCATTAGCCAACGGGAGGTTGGTTCCTTACAATAAACTTCAGGTTCTCATGGACTTTAGACGAGTCAATAAAATGCAACTGCTTTGGAAGGCAGGTGCTTCTGAGATGCTCAGATACAGGTTCCTCCCCTGCTTCATTCAAGGGAATCTGCAGAGCAGACCTGCAAGTTATCCTGGCAGGCTGGCTGGCAGCTTGTGTTCTTTGTTAAATTAGGGCAAGTGCTGGCTGGTCTCTGCTTCAGTTTCCCTTTCCGTTAGGCAGGGCTGGTGTTCACACTAACATCACTCTTTTACTTAACTCTGTTATCACACAAAGTATTCCCATAAAACTCTTCGAATACCAGGGAAATGGTTCCGTTGTACCCCCTAATCTATCTTCATGAGTGGACAGGTGGGTCTGAGAGTAGCATCATTTAGAGAGTCAAAAGAGTTGGGAAAAAATCTGGGTCACAAATTCCCTGGAGGCTCTGAGAATAGCAGACAGGTCCCACTCCACCCTTGGCTCCAGGCCACATTTTCACTTTGTCCAGTTTCGTAGCCCAGTTGGGTATTTGGCTTCACCTAGAAAGGTTAAGAAACATCCAAGCCCCGGAGGTTTTCTGGAGGGTCTTAGGCCTTGACTTTCTCAGTTGAAGACAGATTGCCATCTGTCCCTTCCAAGCTGCTCCTACTGTCAGCTGTTGTCAACTGGAGTTAGACAACTCCACCCGACTCCAGAGAAACCCATGTGGCTTCAGCCCAGAAGCAGATAGAAGACTCCTGAGAACTTTAGCTAAGGAGAAAAGCAAACTAGAACTAGAGTGAACCGGCACGAGTCTACTTAGAAGCCACCCTTCAATCTCACTTTCTGTGGGAAGGGTCTTACTCTTCTACAGAAAGAAGCGAGTGGAAAGTCCGCTTCGAAACAGAGGGCGGCTTAAAATGTATTTTTGAAAAAGCCTAACGACAGCAGAAAGCCTTGAAACTCACCTTTCGGTCCACGGGAGGGCTTCCCGCAGGCGCGATCGCCCGGGATCTGTGGGGTGGCAGCCAGGAGTGACAGCGACCCGGTGGCGAGGCGAGGTCTGGGCTCCTCTCACTAGCCCCTCCCTCCCTGGGCGGCCAGGTCCGGGCCGGGCGGAGCGCAGCGCCGGGCGCCGCCGCGGGTCAGTAGGTGCCAAGCCGCGCCGCGCGTACCTGTCGCTCCCGCCAAGGAAAGCGCCGTCTGTGTTCCCTGGCCTCCTGCTGCCGGACGCCTCGCATATTTGGGGTTTCACTGCAGCCCCATCTTGCTTCTGCTGTCGGAGACACGACTTCCTGAATAGGACTCGCTGTCTCTACCGCTCTTCGGTTCGGCCCCAAGCTTTCCACGCGCAGCCGGTATACCCACCGGTGCCCTTGGACTTGAGTGCACACGCCCCAGGCGCGCCCTCCTCCTCCCTCCGGGTCTTCCCGCCAGTGTCCCCACCCCGCCCCCGCCGTGACGTCTTCTTGCCCCTCCGTCCCGGAGCACGCCTCCTTCAGGGCGCAGCGGAACCAGCTTGGTTCTTTGCAGACGCACGGGTGTTCCCAAGGCCCAGAGACACAACTCAGGGCAAACCCGGTTTAAGAGAAAACAGCCGGATGCTGCTGCCTGTTAGAGTTGTCTTGGGAAGAGGGAGGGAGACGTCGAGAGGGAGACCAGGGTGCAGCTCGGGTGAAGGTTCCAGTGCCTTATCTGGACAAGCGAACGTGACAAGCCCGGCTAAGGCACTGCTGTGTGCTCCAAGGGGGTGCTTGCAATACCTCCGAAAGGTCTTTGGCCTCTTGCTGAAGAGTGTTAAGGAAAATCGTGCCACCAAAACCTGTCAGAAGCAGATGGAGGGGAAGGCTAACTTCAGAAGGTTCTCGTTCCTTCTCATCTCCAGTTACTTTTTATTCGGATCTCTTGGATCTAGTTCTGAGCAACTAGACTGCTGAAAAATGAAAAGGCCCGTGCCAGCGTTGCGTATAGGGCTCTATACACAAAACTCTGGTGATCCTGGGCAGGGAGTTTGTTCTCCAAGGTTACTGTGGGTGGGGAAGGCAGTGATGGCAGGACCTGGCTGTGCAGTATCCAGGGGCCTCCTTAGAGTCATCGTGGGAGGTGCTGCCATGACAAGGACTTAAGATTTGGTCTCCTTAGCTGTATGTGCCAGCTGCAAGGTATCAGGTGCCTGATGCTCAGCTGGGACTTGTTCTCCACAGACTCTGCCTGAGCAGTGCTGTCCTTTGGCCTCTGTGTGTGGGCACCGAAATGACTGGTGCAACAAGCTGTTACAACTAGGAACAAGAGATGCCTTCCTGTTTACACAGGAGAAGCCAACTGGCTCTGAGTTGAAAGGCCAAAGAGAAAACCCAGCATTCCAGTCAGAATGCCAAGAATATTTGAGGAAAAGGGGGAAAAAGTGTTCCTTCAAAGGAAGATTAGATGAGACCTTTCTCCCAGAAATAACCTAGTCTACATTTGAATAAGAAGAGGGAGGAGGGGATCCTAGAAATAGGCCAGCTAATGAATAGTCAGGTAGGACCAGCAGGGAGTGGGAGGTCAGACACTGAAAGCAAAGACACAGTGTTCACTTACCACTAGGAGAGCTCAGCCTGTAATGATGCTTTGAGCCTGCAATCATCTACCTGAAGAGAGTTGGTTCCTCTAAAACTCCCAGAGCCTTAAGCCAGAGCACACAGTGTAACAGAGCACTGAGAAGATGGGCATTGGGATGAGGATAGAAAGCCTTGAATTTGGGACTGGGGATTTGGGAATGGAGGTCTCTTCCCACTGGGAGCATTATGCATTATATATCTATCACTCAATCTTACATCACACATTTATGAAATGTAATATGACCCTCCTTTTGCAGATGAGGAAAGTTAAGGAGGTTCAGAGGAAGGTGAATAACTTCCTCAAGGTCATGGCTAATAAATAGTGGAGCTCAGATTTGAGTCTTCCCAAGTCTCTGATCCACCCTTTCACTACCATCTCATCTGGTAGAGGAAGAATGGCTTCTGTGAAAGAGTTCTGCACCTGAGTAGGGGTGACATGCAGATCTGGGATGATGCCAGGATGACATTTCTGAACAACATTAGAGACTGGTTCTGGCTGAGGTAACAGTTGTGTAGGGTTGCTTTTAAGAGAAAACAAGAAGAAACTAAATGAGACAAATGACCTCAGGGCTTTACAAATATGGCTGTCAGGTAGCAGGAAACCAGAGGCTGTTCCATAAGGTGGTATCTCTGTGCTGCATCAGTTCATAAGGAGAAAAGACTAGTTAGTTGGAAAGCTCCCACTCCCATGACCCTCTCTCTGCTCCATGTAAAGTAGCTTCTGTGGCAGACAAAGCCAGGACTTATAGGTGGGCAAGATGGTAGATTTGCTGACACTGAATTGCTAGGACTGCAAAAATCTGTTCAGGTTCTGACACTACTAGGAAGATGTAATTATGGCAGAAGAAAAGGAGCGGGCATCTGGCCAGGATGTTCTCATTCTGGATGAATGATGTAACCCTTATGAAAAAGCAGGTTAGAGCACCCACCTACAATTCTATTCCTTTGGCAGTAAAATCCTAACTCCTATGAACTCATGAATGGCCCTAGGCAACCACAGTGCCATTACATTTTTCTTAATCTTCATTATTTTTCTTGCTTTTAGTAAGAATATTTGAAGGTGGTCAAGAGGTTAGTGGGCTCTAAATGAAGTGAAACAGAACATTAACATCTAATTAAGACAAGGAAAGCCCAAAATAGAAGAGTTGTGAATTGAGACTGGAAATTTAAACCCCCTTTATGGATGACCACCCCCCACTAACTTTAGCATCTGATGAGCTTTGGTTTTATATCATTAGGTTTTGGACAAAAGGTGTTGCCTCCTTCTCATTCCCTGTGAAAAACCAATGGGGTATTACATATTTGAACTTTAGCCTGCTTTGAGGGCTAAGACTGCCTTACACTTGCTGTTCTTTCTTGGTAATGTCCTGTTTAGACAGGTTGATTGCAGTATCGGCCAGCACCTATTGACCTGTGCATTCTACTTGTGGGAGACAGTTTCCCATAAGTTTACAAACTCCAGAAGTCTAGAAGCCTTCTGTAATATAATGTGGTTGCACCTAGGACAGGTATGGAAACTATTAAATCGAACATTATCTTACTCTTATCTAAACTGTGGTGTATTCTTGCCTGCAACACTGTATGAGGGTCTGGAAGATAAAAGAAGGGCCAGAGAAATTCCCTAAAGAGCAACCTGGATAACTAGAAGGCAGAAGGGCTGCTGACAGAAAAAGCAGGAGGAAATGATGAGACTGTAAGTGGTATGGATAAGATGAGCACAGACTTGTTCATCTGATCCTGAAATGCAGCAGTGTCTGAGAACCACGAGTGAGGCAAGTTCAGGACAAGTCAGTGGAAATACTATTGCAGGAAGCAGGTAATGAATTTATGGAATGAATTATCTCCCAGAGGTGGCCAAGCTGGCAATGTAAATGGATTCCAGAAGGGTTTGAACAGATGTGTGAATGGCAAAGCATAATGGAGAACTGCAGATATACCCCATGTGGCTGGGAGTTCAGGGTGACCCAGAGATTCCCTATGGAGTGTGTATCTCAGGGTCTTTGTGGCCAAAAGAAGTCCAGGCCCACACAGAGTTAGAATTGGAGCCGATGGGCAGCACCAACACTACCTGTCTAATTCTACAGTCTCTGTGGCATAGGCTTTATGTAGGCAGCAAAACTGTTGTTTTCCCCTCAGCCTTACAGCCATTTAAAATGTTGTACTTCTTTATTTTGGCTTTCAACTTCTAAACAGATTTTGAGTGTCTGCCTCCATACCATTTATTATATGTGAGTTTCTTGCAATTAGATTTCAGTCAGACCTTCCCTCCTAAATTATCTAATTCTGACATAAATTACTCTAATTTTAAAAGCTCCTCTGGAAAAAAGAGACAGTAACAATATGCTGTTCTCAGTTCTTTTTAGTGCAACATCCAAAATGTCTTCAATACTGCATTGAGTATGCCATGGAAAATATCACTTTTATGGCCTTAGCTCCAAATTTTGGCATTGGGAAAAGTTAAGGAAACTCGTGGATGTCTTCTCTAATAATCCACCTGTCTCCTTGCTCCCACTCCCATGACCCCATGTGTCACATGCTCTGTGTCTTCTTTTTGTTCCTATAAGTCCTAGGGATATAGTACCCCACCTTATTCTATGTGGGTGAGGGTGGGGCAGGAGTTTGGAAGGCCCTTTGTTTATACTTCTGGGGCACTAAGGGGCTCAGTTCTCATTTTCTGTTTGTGGCTCACAGTCCCCCCGCCCCAGAGTCATGTCTTTAAAGCTATTTTTATAGCAGTATTTTTTGCTGTTGTAAACTGGTCACACTACTGTTGAGGGTCCTTTGTTGGGATTCAGCATTGGCTTTGTTCAAATGTACAGGTCGGGCTTCTGGATTCCATTTCTGTGGCTGGGGTCTCAGGGCTGGGGCAGAGCCCCACAGAGTTCTCATTTCACCTCTCTTTGTGGTTTCCCTTGTCACTTGCTCTTCTTTTGGGAATGGGTTTGCTTATTGATTTATTGAGTGAGTCCATTGTGTGGGTTTTCTATAGTATTTACATGGCCTAGGTAGAACATTTCTTATCACTTTGTCAGAGAGACTCCTGGGAACCCCAGCTTGCCCAGCACATTCATCTGGCAGAAGTTTTTGTGAAGGCTGAAATTGTTCATTCTTCTTGCCCTGAGGGCCCATGAAGTAAATGTGGCTTTGAAATTTGTTTCCTTAACTACTTCAGTGACTCAGAACATCAGTGTTGCCCCAAACAAACTTCCTGTCCCTAGGCTGGGTCTTTTATAACAGGTAAAAGGAAGAGCTGACAAAAACATCATAAAACAATGGGTCAGCCTTCAATTGCTACTTGTAGAAATACACTCACACTCTCTGTTTTAACTACTATTGATGATTCTTTCTATGTGCCAGACACTGTGCTATGAATAAACACACACACACACACACACACACACACACAATCTTTAAATTTCTAAAAGTAATACAAAGTACTCTTGCTATACCCATTTAGTAGATTGATGTGAAAACAGACATGGAAAATTAAAAAGTTTTGTCTAGGGTCAGGTAATTGGCAGGCAATGATGACAATAAATAGAAACACATTTATTCAGCACATATATTTTCCCAGTATTATGCAAAACATTAGATAAACAAAAATAAATGAAACTCTACTCTGATGATGCTTATACTAATTCAACCTAGAATTTTCCTTTTTTTAGTAATTTAATCATTTTTTGATATTTTTTATTGTGCTGGATGGGGGTACATTGTGGCATTTATGAAAGTTCTTACAATGTGTCAATTCACCCCCTCAATGGTCTCCCTTACCCCTTCCATTTCTGGAATAGTTTCAACAGATATCG